TAGGATAGGGCAATGTCGTGCCATGTTACGCATATATATCCGACTCGACTCTACATATATTTCAATCATTTTAAGTGTGTTTGTGTTACAACGTCAGCAGGACAACGATGCCACCACAGGATAGTCGCCATCGCCTTCGCCTCATCGTCATCTCTCACACTCTCAGCCACATATTGCCGCTGCTACTCCTGCGAGTCCTGCGTCCTGCGTCCTGATGTCGTCGTCGTCTGAAAATTGGACAATGATTTATGAGGCGTTAAGTCAAACTTCATATTAATTTCATTTCATTTTCAACCAAACTCCTCAGTCCCAACGACCCGGGACTCCTGTCTTCTGGCTTTAAAGTTGAAAATGAAAACGCACGAGAAGAACACATGAGACACGTAAAATACTCGTACAAAAAATAAAAGCCAAGTCAAGAATAAAGGATAAAACCCGTCTGAACATTCGATGGCTATGCCACCAGGAATGAAGGTAACCGGAAAACGTGTTATGAATTTATGGAATGTGTTTTTTGGCATAACAAATGTTTAAGAACGAATAGGGCATGTTCTTACTGAATGATAGAGTAATCAATTATGAGATTTAAGCAGTTTGAATGGAAGAAAAATAATAGTTTTAAGTATTTCTTTTATGTACTATTTTTTTGGTATTTTATGGGACTAATCTCAGGCCGTTTTTGTAATATATGTACCACTTTATAATTGTTATTTATTTTTGTTGTTATGAAAAATCCTATGGGACATCGAATTTACGTTGAAATTTTCTGAAAATTAAGGAATATTCTTCATTAATTTTTTTATGACTTTCGAAAGTATCTTTTTAGATTCGGAAATCGAAAATTTTATTGAGGTTTGGAGGCCGTTTTCAAGCCATTCAAACATTTCAAATTGCTCCCAAAAAATCTCCGCAAGAGTATACTCTAAAGAAGAAACCATCCACAAACTCAGTCACACACACACCCACCTAAACACCCACAAAAACACACCTACATATACCGTGTCACACATTCAGCGGCAAGAATTTCAAGTTTCGTTAGCCATGCCCTTGGATTCTGGTTCTCGGTCTCGTTCTGGTTATCGTTCTGTGGGCCTTTTTCACCCTCGAGCATAATCATATTTTCTACCAACAATTGTGTATAACATGTGTAATTTGAACATTTCATTCATTCATTCATACATTTATTCGCTCCCACAGATACTGCCTGTGTGCCTGTGCGTGTGTGTGTTCTGGTGTGTGAAAATAACTTGTGGCATGCTTTGAGGCGTTGTGTGTGGCAAGCCAGAACTTTGAGCACTCCTCTTGCTGACTGCCTGGCTGCTCCTGCCACTCCTGCCACTGGTTTTGGCATTCTCCAGTGGTTTTTGCCTTTTTCACACTCTCCTGCCGCCCTCTCTCTCTCTCTTTCTCTCTGTGTGTCTGCCCCTCTCTCTTTTTCTTTGTGTGTGTGTGTGTGTGTGTGTCTGCCCCTGTCTCTGGTTATTGGCCAGTGAAGCGTTAACCATGGTCAATAAAAAATTTATTTAGACAACCACAACAGCTACAACACAATTTTTGCTGTTTCCCAATAAATAAAAAAACGAAAAAATAACGAAAAGATTTCACGGCCGAAGTGCTTGATACCCTCACAGAAAACATTTCTGGGGTAGAGATGGGAAATGATCGTCCAATTTTGATGAAGTGTTCTTGGGTTTTGAATAAAAATACCGTCGATCCACCGAGCTTTTAACGTAGATCCGGGAAAGGATCTAGCCATATATTATGGAAAATGATAGATAAGTAGGGGATAGAAAAAGCTGCATCGTAGAAATTGTTGCAGATTAGGAATGTTATATATAGGGATCTGTAAAATCATTATTTATAATTCTCTGCACTGCAAACCTCTGCTCGAAGTCCTAAAGCCCGCTCCAAAGAGCAACAATATTATGTTGAGTCGGAAAAAAATGTATTGGCAGGCAACAATACCACACAAAAAATGGAGAAATAAAATTGCTGTAAATTTTGCCTCTCACTCAGTTGTGTGCCGTCTACTCTCTCGCTCTCTCTCTTTCTGACTCTCCCTGATTCAGCCTTTTGATGGTGTCGAGCATTGGCATTTGATTTATTTTCTGGTACGTTTAAATATTTCAAATAATTCATATTTTATTGACTAGACATCGACACAGAAGTGAGAGATCTCTCTCTCTCTCTCTTTCTCTGGTTTTTGAAGCAATTAAACTGTATTGTGCATTGCATTTTGTGTTAATTCAATTTGTTTGCAATATTTTGGGTGGAGAATTTTTCAAAAAGCCAAATTTTGTGTTTAGTAATTGGTTGAGTTTTTGTTGGGTGCTTTGTGTATGGAATCTTTGGGTTCATTTGATAGAGAAACAGAAAATAATTTGCATATGAAAATTGTGCAAAAGTGGAAACGCACTTTCCACTTAATTAATGAGGCTTGTCGGTCGGATAGATTTGTACATATATGTATACTCGCCACAAAACCATCTACAAATTAGCAATAAGAAGCCGGGAAAATACTCTTCTGGCAAACAATTAAACACACACAATGCTCGGGTGAAACAATAAATGCAGTTTCCAAACCATGCAAACCAAAAATGTCTCCAGGGTCAATTTCAAATGCATTTACATTGCTGTTGCCACACAAAGACACACACGAAATACGAGTATAGATTAGTGTAATTACAATACCATGGAAAATGACGTCGACATGAACATGGCAAATGGCTCAAGGGCATTTCCACTCCACTCCACTGGGAAATGATGTGTAGTCCAGCCATCCAGCCATTCAGCCATTCAGTCGTTCAGTCGCTCAGATAGGGATTGTGTATGAGGCTGTGGGCATTTGGGAGGTCTCTATATATGGACTGCGTATTGGAAATTCTGCTTTTGATTTCATTTCATTACGCATTTGCAATTTCATCTATGAATAATTGAAAATGTGCATTGCATACTTTAAGGCCTCCCCAAATTGCCATTACAATTGAACATTTTGTTTGGCCCGACTCGTTCGTTTCAGTCGATGTTTTTGGCTAATTTAGACGAGAAATATGCTTATTACGCATTAAAACTAATTAAGCATGAAACTCTATTTGATGGCCTTACGCCCCCTCCACCCACCCACAGCCCCAACTATGGAATGCTCAAACTTATGTTTGAAAATGTTGATTGATGGCTTGAAAATGTTGATTTGTAGCTTGCAGATATTTATCCCAGCATTTAACATTGATTTATGGTTTGGTTCGCTCGATTTCAGCCATATGATAATTGTCGGGCTGTCGTGTTTGAGGTCCTCGCCCTTCTCCTCTTCTCTGCGATTAGCCAGCAGCTTCCTTTGCCTCTGTGCTGGCTCTCCTGCTGTTCACCTTAATAGCTCTTAATTGCAATTCCTTTCCGCCATGAAAGGACTCTTCAATTACCACACAATTACGTGGGAGTGTCAAGTGCAATGAAACCAAACAAAAAGAAGGAAAAAACACAGAAAAGAACCATAGGTTTTCGACTAGATAATACCTGGTACTTAGATATGACTTCTTTTTGGGCGGAAATGGGTTTGTTTTGATGGGAAATACTATGAGGAGAGATAAAAGACAGAAAATGGTCAGGAATAGACGTGAATTCTATCTAAAGTCCACCGGATTTTAATGATTCTTGCACTATATATAGATATTGTGTGTAGAAAAAAAACTATAAAATATGAGACACCTATCTTCAAAATTGATGAAGGTATAGCTTTATCTTAAATTCAGGCTTTAATAATTAACCGATTGTAATGATTCTTGTCATTTAGTTAGATATTTACCCTATGAACACCTCTATTAAATATAAGTCCTCTATCTTCAAAATTGTAGAAGCCACAACTTTTTTCCTTCGTCAGTAATGATCTGTTTATATGTTGGGTATCTGTATGGGTATCACAGAATATTAAACATTCGATTTTTGGACTATAGCTAGGGAGTTCTTTTGTTGTACAAAATCCAATATACCCCTGATCCCAAACGAATACGAGAGGTCTACAAAGACCAGAGAATAAGTGGGAATACGGATGCTGTGGTAAGAAAGCAGGAAACAAAGTCCAGTAGCTCACTTTGAGAGACCATCCGCCCACAAAACACTTTCCAGCACTCGGCATAAATTAATTACAATTCATTTCCCCTTGTAAGTTTTCTCTCTGTGTTCTCTGCCTGTAATTGTAATTGTTGTTATGGCTGGCTTATAATTGTCGTTGCTTGTTGATGCTGTGTCTCTGATGTTGTAGTAGACCTGTGCTCTGCTCTCCTCGATGTCGTTGTCCTTGTCGTTGTAGAGCTCTAAACAATTAAGTGCAAATTGTAAAACATGTAGAACTGCGGTCTGTGGTCAGGTTTTGTGTGAAGGTAACCGAAAACCCAAACAGAAACTGGAAAGAGCAACCAAACTAGTTGAGGTTTTTTATTTAAGCGACTTTTCCGTGTGGAGTCTGTGGAAACTTCGTTGGATACTTTGTTTCTATTTGTTTTATTGATAAAAGGATGTTGCACAGATTGGAAGTCCTTTAGAAAGTTTTTTCATGCGATATTTGTCTTAATCGATGGCTAATGAAACGTTTTCAATAATTATTTAATTGTTATTGGGGTAAAATATTTAATCGGTGATTTTACAATGAGAAAGTGGCTTTAGTCGATGGTTAATGAAACGATTTCAATGTTTGTGGTAAAAGTTAATTAATCGATAAGTAATCGGTAAGAAAAGAGTCCTTTGAAATGAGTTCCTAATGGGAAATAAATGTTAATCGATGGTTATTTCACTTATGGTGCTGGAAATCAATTAATCGATAAGCTATCGATCAGGAAATACCCTTTTCTCATGCGAAAGATGTCGATCGATGGTCAATAAAACGTTTTAGATAATTATTCATAGCTTATGATGTAAATTGAAAAATCGATAATTATCGATAACCAGTTTTGTTGTGGTTTCCAACGACACACCACACAGATTTATAGAACTAGATATATTACACATATTTCAACCATATTTATACGTCAAATACTCATAGCCATACTCGTAGGCCAGCATTAGAATAGCACCTCCTGGTCCCGCACGCATTATCTTGACACTCAAGCCTTTGTACAACGCTCGAAAGCCCTCCTCTTCGTATATCGTCTTGATCGTGGGCACAGTCCATTTATATTTGATGGATCCCTTGGTAGGCTGTGGACCCTGTATTCGGGATTTGGCCACATCGAAAGTGGTACTGAACAAACAGCTAATGCTGCTCGAAAAGAACCCAATGGCCCCCCTGCGAAAGAACTCCGCGAGGTCATGCTGATAGGCGGGAATTTCATCTTTAAGTCCTTGATAGATACCAAAATATGCGAAATGAAAGATGGCATTGCGGATCATGAGGGCTGTGATTCCTCGGTAGAGTCCTTTGATGCCATATCCATCGCTCTGAACGATTCTCCTGGCCACCGTCAGCGTGTTGAGGGCATCACTGCGATCCGCCTGCTGTGTGATCTTAACCACCTCAAACGGATTCAGGAAAAAGCACTCCAGGGTACCCGCCAATGCCCCAGCCATGGCATGCGTTAGGGCCGTCGGTTGGAGTGCTCCAAATAGGAAAAGCGGCTTGGCCTGCTCGTAAACCACAAACTTGGCGGCTCGCTTCGGGGTCTCCGAGCATATGGGGGGCACAATGCCCTTCCAAAAGGCAGCAACACCCTCGTGACTGTAGATCTTCGAAATGCAGTCAAAGACACCCGTGTAACGGAGCTCTCCGGCGGCTGCTTGCACGCCCTGCAGCTGCAACCGTGTCTTGACGACATCCAATGGATGCAAAAGCAATAGCTCCAGGAGACCCGCCGATCCGCCAGCCACAAATTGGAAGAGGGCTCTTGATTTACCCGGCATTGGCTCCCATTCGGGCTCCACTTGGGGTCCCATTCATTCAAAAAGTATAATCTAAATGCTCCTTAAACTGAAGTAAATCTCAAAGTCGGAGTTTTCGCACTGTTTTTGGGTCACTCGTATCACTCTATATAGTGTAGCTTTCTCTCTGGGTCCTGATGTTAATGAATGTCAAGTGCACCTCTGCATTGCCATCAAAAAGTCAGTTGTGGGTCTGGTGCCAGAAGGGTCTGGATCTCATAACAACAATTATGCTAATGTGGCCCAATCCGGCGACGTCAATCCAACATAATTGCTAACAAATTAGTCATGGTCACACAGCCCTCACCCCCCCCCACACCAGTCCCCTTAGTCCGCCTCAGTCCCACTGTCCCACAGTACATCCATTACCAGCCCCGTCCGCATCCTCCTCTTTTGTGTGGTGGTCGTGTGGGTTGTGTTCAGCTCTCGAGTTTCCATGTTGGAGGCGAAGTTTAACACGCGAGCGAGCACCAGAATGAACAGCAGGAGCAGGAGCAAGAGGCAGCAGCAGCAGGAGGCAGCAGCAGCAGGAGGCAGAAGGCAGGACATTGTCTGTGGCTAGGTGTGTATCCTGGCAATTTGCTTGTCAGGCTGCAGCGCTGAATGTAGACCAGGCTAGGGTCCTTGGGTCCTTGGGTACAACCAACTGTAGAGTCTCCTTTTACATGGCATCGCCCACACTCTATGGTTCGCCTCTGATGAGGCAAATGAGTTTCATTTCCATGTCCTTCAACTGTGCAAGGTCTCACAAGTACCTTTGCAGGTCCTGCGGCTGCTATTGCCCCTCCATTCTTCATCTCAATCTTGTTCTGGCTACCGAGGTGGCTGCACTTTTGATGGAGTACGTTAAATTTATATTAGAATATTAAGTAAATGAGCACTCCACTTAGGCTAGGCGCCAGGTGAAGTGTGCCAGATGGGGTGCCCTCCCCTGCTGAATGATGAAGTGACTATTAAAGAAGCGAAAGCTCAAGAGGTTGTTGGCTGGAGCATAACATCTGGCAATTGCTCTGATCAATTGGGTGGCCACAATGGCAGGGGAGAAGGGGAGTCCTGGGAGGTGCTAAAGACTTGACAGCAGAAGAGTTGAACAGAGAGAAGAGTAAGGAAGGGGGGGAATACAGTGATTGGGTACAGAAGCTGCTAAGAGACTAATTTTGGAGCCTTGGAAAATACCCAAAGAACTAAAAAGATATGAGGATAGAATAGTGATAAATTATCTTAACTTCTAGTAAACTTTCTTCCCTTTTGTTAATTAACTGTTCTGTACATTCCACCCATATTCCACTTCATTGGATAAACTCTTTTTATGATGACCATTCCCTCTATCGAGAAACCCACATATATTTCCTTGTACAGTTTCCACATCAACACTTTTAGCTATTTTCCAACAGCACACTTTATTTTCTCTATTTTCTCCATGGAAATTCCATTGCAAAAAAGGACACCCGCAATATATACTCCATCCTGGCTGTCAGCAGACATCTTCCTTGTCATTTTAAAGCCATTTGATGTATGACAAATCAAATTTGACAAACTGCCAGCAGTTGTTTTGCATCTTTGCAACATTTTTCACAGAGGACCCTGCCACCCTGCCACCGTGCCACCCCATCCACACCATCCCCCAGCCAGACGACACATGTGAAATCAACTCCTGTACTTAATACAGAGCATATAATGGAGCAGAGGGAGAAGGACCTCTTATGGGTGTTCCCTGAATAGGAAAGAAGGAAAAGAACACAACAAAATTTACATACTCATGTTTTGCAATACGCCGTGTGACATGCAAAAATGTTGAAAAAGGAAAAGGGATTCAAATGGGGGGGTATTGGGATTAGGGATCTTTTTTGGGTACAAATACGACGAGGTACATGTGTAAATTTTAATGCTGTTTGATTAAAGACAATGATGTTTGAAATTCGTACCTAAAGGGGGGTGGGATACAAAAAACCCCATTCCGTAGGCCACGTCCCAAACTAAACGAAAATTGCGGCAAAGTTCGCTGCCACACAGACACGGGGGAAATAAAAGGAGTTCTCGCTGCTGCTGGGTTTAATTTTAGGGCTTATTCGAGTATGCATTCCACTTCATGGTACTATATTTTTTGAATAAAAAGTCAGGGGGGCGCCGAGTCGGGGGCAGAGTATGTGGAAATATTCACTACTCTGTCTGACAGTCAAAAAACTGGGAGGCTGGCTGTATGGCACCGGCACCGGCTCCGGCGAAACGTGAGCTCAATCAAGCGCCTCTGAGTGTGGCGATGGTCCGACAAGGGAAATTTACAAGCCACACACACACACACACATACGGCCAAACAAATGGCAAAGGAAACGAATGTCCCCAAAGGGGAATCGAAATGGAAATCGCAATGTAGGAAATGTGGGAAATGTAGGAGGAAAAACTGCAGTCTCCAAGAACTTGACTGCAATTCTCGCATGAAAAATTAAAAGTCGCTCCAGTCGCGTAAGAAATATGCAATTTGCTCGATTTGTGCATGATTTCTCATTGTGTTTGCATAGACCGTGGACTACACTGAGAGAAATTTGCAGGTGAAAAAGGGGAAATTAAGAAAAGACTTGTAAAGTGTTTCTGATGGATTTCGTGGCATATCTTTATCTAGTATTTACAGAAAATTATACTATGGAATTCCCATAAACGAATGGCCCCCTTCAAACGAAAGCTTTTCTCTCAATGTACTCCCCCGGCGGTGGAGTTCCCTAGCAAACATATGATGTGCAGACACGATTGCATACTTATTCCACTCCCCACTCCCCGCAGGAGAGATGCGGCAGCGACAAACCCGTTATCGATACAACACGCGCTGCTGTGCTCTTCCCGAAAAAAGTAGACCCCAAGGACATGGTGTCATTTTGGCAAGTTATTGCATTGCACATGGCCCGAAAAATCCCCAAACCCATTGCCATACTCTACCAATCCTTCCCCAAAGAGAAGGGTGGGAAAAGGGGGTAAGGGTATTCACGTTTTTTGTGTTAGTTCCAATGGCCCTGCGGCATCTTTGACTTTCGCAACGCTTTTTTGATTGTTGTGCGGAGGTTCCTCGTTTGACTTCAAGCATGAATGACTTTGAGTGGAACTTGGACCTGCCACTGTCGCTGCCACTGCACGCTGCTGTCTGATGCGAGTCCCCCCCCTGCTGTTCCCCAAAATTACCTTGTCTTTGTACATTTTATATGACGACGACGACGACGACGAAGTTGTCCAGGAGCAAGTTGTCCCATCCAAGAAGCATCAAGCGGACGACGCATGTTGCAACTTTAGTCCTCCGTTGCCGACATCATGTTAATGCCAAGAGTTTTGGGGCTACCTTAAAATCGAGTTATCTGCATCTGTCTGGCAAGCATCTGGGATCTGGGAACTGGGTACTGGGTACTGGGGGATCTGCTGACGTGATATATGAAGTTTTGTGGAAAGTTGTGACGTGGCAACGTCTCTGGCAAGTAAATTAGTAATCAATATATGGAGGAGATTGGAAGAAGAAGCCAGCACTACTACTACCATCTGAAGGGCTCTCGCTATCCCTGGATGCAACGCTAATCCCATTAGCTGCAACATGAACTCCACTCCGACACGCACTCGACTCGAGTCGACTCCGACACGACGTTGCTTTAATAAGCTGCAGACGCCCCCAAAAAATAAAATCTACCCTCTCCCTCGTACACACACACACACACACACACCACTCGAGTTTAATCAAAAAACTTGCAAGTCTTGTTGATGGAATGCTACCGCAGCCCCCTGCCTGCCCCAGCATCTTGTGGCACACATAAAGCACTTTGTATGCATGTCGCTGTATGCTACTCTATGCCTCATCCACAGCCTCAGCCTCAGCCTCCATCCGTATCTCCTTCTGGTCGTCGTCCCTGTGTGTTATGAATATAAATTTATTTCCCACGTCACAACACAAACACGGCGCACGCTGCCACTGCCACTGCCACACTGCCACTGCCTCAGCCACACAACCACAGAGGGTGGTATGCCAGCGGACTCAGACATTTCACACATCGCGCATAATAATAATAATAAACGATAACGAAATTTACTTCCTAGGAAACCGCGACAGCACACACTCCCTGAAGATTGAAGATGGTTGTCCTGTCCACAAAGCGCATCCTTCCTACTTCCGGGAGAAACTAGAAATATTATGAATAGAGAAGAGCCCCGCACGAGATTGTAAAGTAAAGCACTCCATGGCCATGGATTTTAATTTTGTTAATGCAAAGGTATTTTCGAAGAAAAGCTGCGTTTTACAAGGGATAAACCTCGTATTAAATGCAAAATTATCTCTGAAGAGAGCTATAGCTGCAAGGAGCTATCAATTGGCAGAAGGCCCGCAAAGGCAGGAGGGAAAGCGGCGAATCGAGAGAAATAACGAGGAAATATGGAAAGCCATGATGCAAATCAAGGAGGAAGGAATGAATATGGAATAGGTGGACGATAGACTCCAAGGAACGATGCAAAACATCATATAGAAAAGTAGATCAAGGGAAAAAGCTATAAAATATACAAAAACGAACAAAATGAAGTGAAATCTAAGTGTAATATCCCACAGAACCTGCATGATTCAAGTGAAAAGTAATGATAGAAAACCCTATAGCAAACCCTTTAGCAAACCATCTTAACCACTCAAAAACCTCTTCTTTCGACTTCTTTAAAAATTCCCTTGGCTGTAAAAAAAGAGCCTCTGGAAAACCACATCTGTTTGGCATTTTTGTAATACTCGTAATTCCAGTGATATAAGTTTTCATTACGCGTGTCTCCAAAAAGTTAAAGAAGAAGCCAAAGCCAACGTGTGATGTGTGTGGGTGTGTCTGCCTCTGTGGGTGCCACATTACGATGATGATGACGTTGACAGACCTACGCACCAGACGCTGCCAAAGGACGAGACCGACGACAGAGATATGTTGCTTAAAGATTCGCCTGCTGCTTTTTTTTGGGCTGTGAATACACGAGGCGGAAGCCAGGACGAAATCGCAAGAAACTCATCTAGAAAATTG